ATAGCTCCAGAATGAGCTGCTTTAGTCGTCCTAGCATGTCACCAACACCTCTGGACCGCTGTCGATCACCTGGAATGCTCGAACCCCTTGGTAGCTCTAGAACACCCATGTCTGTCCTGCAGCAGGCTGGTGGCTCTATGATGGATGGTCCAGGTCCTCGAATTCCTGATCACCCAAGAACATCTGTGCCAGAAAATCATGCACAGTCAAGAATTGCACTTGCCCTGACAGCCATCAGTCTTGGCACTGCTCGGCCGCCTCCATCCATGTCTGCCGCTGGCCTTGCTGCAAGAATGTCCCAGGTTCCAGCTCCAGTGCCTCTTATGAGTCTCAGAACGGCCCCAGCTGCTAGCCTTGCCAGTAGGATTCCTGCAGCCTCTGCAGCAGCCATGAACCTGGCCAGCGCCAGGACACCTGCCATACCAGCAGCAGTGAATCTGGCTGACTCGAGAACACCAGCTGCAGCAGCAGCCATGAACTTGGCCAGTCCCAGAACAGCTGTGGCACCTTCTGCTGTGAACCTTGCTGACCCTCGCACCCCTACAGCCCCAGCTGTGAATCTAGCAGGAGCCAGAACCCCAGCTGCCTTGGCGGCTTTGAGTCTCACCAGTTCTGGCACATCCCCAGCTGCTGCAAACTATCCCTCCAGCTCCAGAACACCCCAGGCCGCAGCCCCTGCAAACCTGGTGGGTCCTAGATCTGCACATGCCACAGCTCCTGTGAATATTGCCAGCTCAAGAACCCCTCCTGCCTTGGCACCTGCAAGCCTCACCAGTGCTAGAATGGCTCCAGCCTTGTCTGGTGCAAACCTTACCAGCCCCAGGGTGCCCCTGTCTGCCTACGAGCGTGTTAGTGGCAGAACCTCACCACCGCTTCTCGACAGAGCGAGATCCAGAACCCCGCCGGGAGGCCCAGGCTCCAGAACCCCACCATCTGCCCTGAGCCAGTCTAGAATGACCTCTGAGCGGGCTCCCTCTCCTGCCTCTAGAATGGTCCAGGCTCCCTCACAGTGTGTTCTTCCTCCAGCTCAGGATAGACCTAGGTCCCCTGTGCCATCTGCTTTTTCTGACCAGTCCCGAGCTATGCTTGCCCAGACCACCCCTGTAGCAGGGTCTCAGTCCCTTTCCTCTGGGACAGTGGCCAAGACCACGTCCTCTGCTGGTGACCACAACGGCATGCTCTCTGGCCCTGTCCCTGGGATGTCCCATCCTGAGGGTGGGGAACCACCTGCTTCCACTGGGGCCCAGCAGCCTTCTGCACTGGCCGCCCTGCAGCCGGCAAAGGAGCGGCGGAGTTCCTCCTCCTCCTCCTCCTCCAGTTCCTCTTCGTCGTCGTCGTCTTCATCGTCCTCTTCCTCCTCCTCCTCTTCTGGTTCCAGTTCCAGCGATTCAGAGGGCTCTAGCCTTCCTGCTCAACCTGAGGTAGCACTGAAGAGGTGAGGGGCTGGGCTCTCAGAACGGTTTCTACGGGACAGGTTTTGGGGGTGCTTGGTTGGGGGGAGGGAGAAGCCCCATCCAGAGATTCTGCTCTTTGAAGGAGGTGTGGGGACCTTGACCCTTAAGCCGGGGGTAGAAGAGAATGCTGGGGTGGGGGCAGTGGGAGGGGGAGGAGGAGCGGGTCTCCAAAGGTTCATTCTCTAGAGGATAATGATGAGTTTTCCGTCTCTACAGAGGACAGAACTAGAGGAAATGGACTTAATTTTACAGCAGGAGGGATGGCAGTTAGACCTCAAGAGGAACTCCCTGGGCTGGAAGGATCTTCAGAGGTCATCCCGTCCCTCTCCCTGCCTCCAGGCAGGACGGCCCCTCCCCAGCCAACCCGCGCACACGCAGGGGCCTCCCCAGACTGTGGCTCTCCATGGAAGGAGACCACCCTGCTCGCCTTCCACACCTGAGCCCAGGGGCCTTATTCCTCCATCAGGGACATTCTTGAGGTTTAGCCTTGATCCCTTGTGCTGCGGGCCCCAGCCTGTTGCTTGTGTTAGCAGAGGTTGGGTCAGCTCGGGGCCACTGCTCTCCAGAGAACGCACTCACTGGCTCTCAGCTTGGACAGCGCGCAGGGCCTCTCTGCGGCACCCCTCCCCCACTGCCGTTCCTCCAGGCCAAGGAAGGTAGGGTTGGGGCTGGGGCAGCTTGTCTCCTTGTGACACTCTGCTTCTCCCGCAGGGTGCCCAGCCCCGCCCCAGCCCCAAAGGAGGCTGCTCGAGAGGGACGTCCTCAGGAGCCGACCCCAGCCAAGCGGAAGAGGCGCTCTAGTAGCTCCAGTTCCAGCTCCTCCTCCTCTTCGTCCTCCTCCTCCTCCTCTTCGTCCTCCTCCTCCTCCTCTTCATCGTCCTCCTCCTCCTCTTCCTCCTCTTCCTCTTCTACTTCCTCCCCCTCCCCTGCTAAGCCTGGCCCTCAGGTCTTGCCCAAACCTGCAAGCCCCAAGAAGCCGCCCCCTGGCGAGCGGAGGTGAGTGCTGCCCGGCTTGAGATGGAAGGGGTGGGGTGAGACCCTGGGTGTGCAGTCCCTGCCGGGAGTCTCAGGCGGACTGTGGTGTCTGGTTCTGTGGGAGGAGTTGGGCTCTCCTCTCCCTGCCACCTTCGTGGTGCCCTGCTGTGGCGAAAGGCTGCACCATCCGAGTGGGTGCTCTGGTCCAAATCGTGGAGTCCTAGGTTCCGTCCTCTCCCTGCCCCTGACATGCCGCCTGCTCCCTGCTCCGAGGTCCCAGGGATACTAGCTTTTAAATCTCCCCGTTGCTACTGCCAGGGCTCCGGTCTGGCCACCGTCATCTTCTCCCGACTCTGTCCACAGCCTCTTCCCTGTCTCCCTGCCTCCACGCCATTCTCTTCCACACGTAGCCAGAGGGATCTTTCTAAAACGCACATCTGGTTACTTCCCTCCACTCCACAAATCCTTCCGGGACGCCCTGTGGCCTGCAGGATAAAGCCCCACCTCTGCGGGAATGGCGTGTGAGGCTCTTCACCAACTGGCCTTGCCTGCCCTGTGTTCTCCTCTCCTGCCCGCCCCCACACATGCCCTGTGCTCCAGCCACACCCAGCGCCTTGCAGTCTAAGGAGAACCCCATGCCTTTGGACATGCTGTTCCTTCTGCCTGGAATTCCCTTGTCCGCCTGGTGAACTCCTCGTTCTGCAAGACTCCGCTCAAACAGCACCTTCGAGAAGACTACCCTGCCCCACATCCCCTTCCCCCGGGTCCCCAGCCCCATGTACATCGGTCCTTGTGGGGCTGCTTCCCATACACCGGGCCAAGTGGGCCTCCCTTGGCCTTCCTCCACCACCAGACCGAGCCCCTCCAAGGGCAGGGACTCTCTTTATCTGTGCCTCCCCCGCTGCACCCCCGTGCCCTGCCCACTGGGGCACTCGGTGGATGGTGTGCGGGCGGATGGGTGAGTGAGCAGACAAAGGTGGGTCTGAGGCTGGCCCTGTGTGGTATGAGGTTTGGTGGTCAGGACCTGGGGGGTGGTCCTGAGTGCCGGCTGGTGGCTTTGGAAGACTGTGGTGCTATGGGGACTTACTCTGCTCCCCAGGTCCCGTAGCCCCCGGAAGCCAATAGACTCCCTCCGAGACTCTCGGTCCCTCAGCTACTCACCTGCGGAGCGCCGCCGCCCCTCACCCCAGCCCTCGCCACGGGACCAGCAGAGGTAAGGCCTCCCGTTGGACCAGCGTGGCCCCATGAAGAGTTTCGAGGCCCAAAGGTGCCAGAGGTTGGTGTTGCCTCGCGCATGATCTGATGTCATTCCTGTGTTGCAGCAGCAGCGAACGGGGTTCCCGCAGAGGCCAGCGTGGGGACAGCCGCTCCCCGGGCCACAAGCGCAGGAGGGAGACACCCAGCCCCCGTCCCGTGCGGCACCGCTCCTCCAGGTGGGTCCTCCTGGCGCTCCAGCGCCAGGTCCCCTTCTGTGTGCCCCCGCGCTGGCTGGTCTCGGCACTGACTGTCCTTTTTTCTGTTGCAGGTCTCCTTGAATCTTTCTGGGGGGGATTCCACCACACCCTAAGTTCTGGAGCTGCAGGGAGTGTCCCCTTTCCCCAGCAGAGCCATGGGGAGGGGTCCTTGTCTGCCCCCCTTTGAACCCTGGCAGCATCTTGGGGGAGGGTGCTCTCTTCCCTCCCCTCTTTTTTCTTTGTTCCTGTGAAATGTTAATCTCTGTGAGTTTTTCCTGGTTCACGTTTTGGGGGGTTTGGGGGTGGGTGGGAATGAGAATGGGAGTTGTGGGAGGGGAGGATACAGTTGGGGACACCCTGGTCTTGAGTTAGAAAGGGCCTGGGAGGCAGTGATGCCCCCTTTTAACCCTAAATTCCTGGGGGGCAGTGCTTTGGAATTTGGGAACTTGCGTGAGGTATTCCTGGAAGGAAGGGGCAGGAGTGGAAATGAGTTGGCCCCTGCTGCCCCCCCAGTGACGTCGTGGCCCCTCCCCCAACTTTTCTTCACGTTTCTTAAAGGCATTTTGGTTTTTTAAAATCTGTACAGCAAGAGCAACTTTTTCTGTCAAATAAAAATGAGAAATGCAGGAATTGGGTCTATAGATGGTTTATTAGGGGTGAGAGCTGTTCTACTGACCCCCCCCCCAATGCTTTCTTACGGCCTCCGAGGACCTGTGTTGGGCAGCTCTAGGCTTTGGGTCCTCTGTGGAGCCCAGTCTAAAGCCAGCGCACTGGCTCCAGCTTCCTTTGGCTCCTGGCTTGTCCTTACCTCTCAGAAGCTGCCGTGAGCCTGCCTACTGGCGGGAACTCACGAAAGGAACAAGGCCTCAAAGCTTGGGTCTCCAGGCTGAGCAGAAGGCTGGCCTGCGGGCTCTGGGTTCCTCCCGGGCCCCTGTGGTGGCCTCAGAGGGGCAGGCTGGGGTGGGGGCGGATGGCTGGGACCACAGAGCTTGTGGTCTCTGAAGGTGGCCTTAGCAGCGAGGGGCTGAGGTTGGGTCTCGCAGGGGTGCGGACCCATCCCAGGGAAGGCGATGCCTGCAGCGGGAGAAGGTGCGCAGAAAAAGGCAGCAACCAGGCAGACACCCGAATCTCTTTTTTATTGGGGGGGGCACTGGGGCGGGCCCGGGGCCCTCTCACTGCACCGCTTGTTCATTGGCGCTGCTTCCTGAGTCCTGTGGCTTCATCACATCGGGCAGCTCAGGTGGGCTGGAGAAGGGCTCGATGCGCAGAGCCTCAAAAGCTTCATCTGGTGGACAGGGGGGTTGAGAGAGCTGGAGGGAGCGGTTAGCACCAGCTTCTGGGGTCCTCTGACTTCCCCACCTCTGCAAAGTGCGTCCCCCCCTACATGCCCAGCCCGGACTGCCCACCCGCCATCCCCATGGTCAAGTCCTCTGCCTCACCCTTTATACCCACTAGGGACGCTGTGGGGACCCCTGCCCATTTGTCTCCCCCACCCAGAAGCTCCACCATCTCCTTGCCCCTTTCACGCCTCTCTACCAAGTACGGATTTTTAGGTTCAAACCAGACTGTTCTTGTGTAAAGCCTTGCAGTGGCTTCCCATCACGCTCTGAATAAAATATCTCAAGTCCATTGCCCTCTGTCCACCTGTCTCCTGTGTTCCCTGTGTTCCCACATCAAGCTCTCTCCTGCCTCGGGGACTTTGTATTTGCTGGGCCCAAGCCTGTCACTCTGGCTGGTTGGGGGGATTCAAAGGGACAACCCAAACGTCACTGTAAGAGAAGCCCTCCCCAGCCTCTCTACGTAGATCGTCACTGCATCCCAACACGTGTGTCGCTTCAGCAGCACTTACCTACCGCTTCGCCAAAATGGCCTTGACCGACCAAGCTGCTTCCCCCACTGGAACAGTAGCTCCAGAAAGCCCCCTCTGGTTTCTGTCACCTCAGCAGAGCAGATAAGCCCCACTTCCAACCCCTCCTGCACTTTCTTCCAACAGGGAGACTTCTCTCCCCCTGGCTCAGGGTTCTCAACCAGTTAGGCTGCCCAGGACAGCTGCCCACGTCTGGCAGTTCTGGTTGCGACACCTTGGCCGAGTGGGCAGAAGGCCATCTCTCCTAGTGGCCATCGGAGATGCACACCCAATGGCCTGACCCTCAGAGGTCAGCAGTGCCTAAATGGACCCTGGCTCAGCTTAACTAGTTCATCTTCCAAGCCGCAAATCTGCAGTGACCATTCTCGCCTTCGTTCACACTTCCATTTTTGATTAGCTAAAACTAGAAACCGCCCTTTAACACTTGGTTTGAGCAGCCATTTGCGCAGGAAAGTTCTGTCTTGCCCTTCCAAAAACCCTAAGGAAAACAGTTAACCCCGCAAAGGGCATTTTTGCAACAAAAGTAGCCCAAAGGAGGAACGAAGAACATCTAGTCCAGTCCACACTGTGTCCTCTATCAAGACAACAATCACCTGTCCCAGTGGTGACAATGCCTAGGGGCTAGTCACCCCCATATACAATGCCTTAACTGGGGTCATGGGAAAAACAAATGCCCTCCCTCTGTTCTGAGCTCTTGGCGGACAAAACAGACCCACGACATCTCCCCAAGAGTCCCCACAAGCCTGCAGGAGATGCCTGCCCTCGAGAGGCTGGGGAACCCCGGGGGGGGATGCAGCCGAGCCCACGCTTAGGAAGCAGAACGGGAGATGCGCCGTCCCCTCACCTCACCCCCTCCCAAGCGCACCCCTGTACCAAGTCTGCACCAGCTGTGCGCCTGCCTTCACGTCACCGAGAGGGTCAGAGGGGACCCACGGGAGAGGCCCCTTGGATACGCATCTGCTGAGCACCCTCAGGCCAAGGCCCGGGGTGTGTGGGGGCTCGCACCACCCGCGAGGCTGGCCTGAGTGCCGCACGCCGCTCTGGAGTCGGGAACTCCGGCTAGGAGGGCGGCAGGCATGAAGCAAGCGCCCAAGGACGGAGCTGCTGAGGCCCGGCAGTGACCGTCATGAAATCCGACAGTGGCTAAGGTGGTACGCGCCTTCCTCAGGCCTCACTACAGAAGCCAGAAAAATCACTACTTATCTTGAGTCTACGCAGCCATGCACACAAGGCCAAGTCCACGGCTGTGAGAACAACCCCCGTTCAAGTTTCTAGAGACACAAAAATTCAAACCTCTCTTTCTTCGGAGAAGACGGTGTACTGGAGGGCAGTGACCCACCCCCACCCTTGAGTTTCTAAACACTGGGCAAGGGGCATGTGGGGTTCATGAGAACACAGTCCCTGGGGCAGGCAGAGACATGAATTCCAGAGGTGACCTCACTTCCTCAGGCTCAGTTACTCCTCCTTAAAATGGGCACAACACAAGCGTGCGGGCGGAGGTGCTGGAGGGCTGTGATGGCTGCAAACATGCCTGGCGTGGTGCTCGGCTCAGGCCAGGTCCCCGCGGTCTGCATCTGGACCGCAGCGCCCCAGGGGACTGCCTCCGTTTCCAGTCTCCAAAGTGGGGACTGAGTATTAAACGGAAAAATGGAAACAGAACGCAGAGCACGGGACCCGGTACTCGCTAAGACCTCTGCACACACAGGCTGGCGGCGCGGCTCGGGCTGTGGGAATCCCTCATGAGATAAGCTTCCACTTCCACAAACGTCTCCTCTGCCTTTTTTTTTTTTTTTTTTTTTTTTTAAATAATCTTGCCAAGAAACAAATACTCGGTCACAAGATACTGACTGCGCTTTGTGGCCTAGGAAGACACTGCCCTTGAGGCTGGGAGGAGCGACAGCGGGCTCCCCGGTGACCCCTTCCTTTGGCTGTCCTCGCCCGGCCTGGCGGCCCCGCTCACCTGCTCGGAAGGCCAGCCCTACAGTGGCCGGGGCCTGCGGCCGGGCCGTCTGACTGGTGAAGCCGCACTCTCCCAGCGTCTTGCCGTCATCCAGAAGCTGGTCATCCTGAGGAGAGAGGCAGGGTGTTGGGAGAGGCCCCAGGAGGGATGGGTCCCAAAGACTTCCCTGGTCAGCAAATACCCTGAAAGTCAGAAGAGGGAAGATAAATGGCCCCAAGTGGGGCCCAGGACCACCCCCAGAACATAGCAAACACAATTCACAGGGCCACACACAACACCTTCCAATCAGAACCTTCCAGGCTACCACTAGGGAATCTCTTTTTCCCTCCCGAGTCTCCAGGTGATTCTAATCCAAGGCTCCAGGTGATCCTAATTTCAAGAGTCCGCGACCCAGACTGTCCATGCGCAGACCTCATTCGAATCCCAGCTCTGCGACCGTGGACAAAGCGGTCGAGCTTTTTGATGTTCAGTTTCTTTATTGGTAAGGTGGGAATTCCCGGAATTCCCAACTTGTCGGGCACCCCCGGGGTTCCAGCGAGTGAGGCACCCCCAAAAAACACGGAAGGCAGCACAGGCGGCAGGGAAGCGTCCCTGGACGCCCGGCAAAAGGGGCTTTCAGAGACGAACCCAGGCTCGGTCTGGAATCAAAGGCCAGTTTCCCACTTCCCACGCTCCAGCGAGAGTCAGACCAGGGCCCCCAGGTGAGGGGCGCCATGCTGCTGGACGCCCAAATCGGGCCAAGAGGACGGACTGCCCCATGCAAACCCGAAGCCCCAAGCCATCTTCGCTACTTAACTGCAGTGGGTTTGAGGGGGGAAGGACGGGCTTTCAGAGCACCGGCAGGAGCGTGGGGACAATGCGCTCGTTGGCGGAAGCCTGCTGGGCCGCTACTCACTCCGACCCCCTGTGCTTGTCAGCAGTCAGGAGTGGAGCTGAAGGGATGCGCTTCCGACGGGCCCATGGGGCCCTAAAGCCAACGGGGTTCAAACACAGGCTCTGCCGCTGACCTTGGGCTGAGCGGCCGCCTCGCGCAGCCTCAGTTTCCCCAGCCCTCCGCCGCCGGGATGAGACGCGCCGCCGGGCCCCCGCGCGACCCCCGGGGCCGCCCCTCCACCGAGCGCCGGCGCCGCCTCGCCTCCACGCGGGGGAGTTCCGGCCACTGTTTACACCAACGACGCGGCAGCCCCGCAGCGTCCGCCCCCGCCTGCCCGGGGCTGCACCTTGTACAGCCGCTGCTCGTCGGGCGGCCGCTTGAGGATGCCCTCGACGATGCGCTTCAGCTCGAACACGGTACTCGACTCCTTGGCGTCCGTGAAGATGGTGGTCTTGTGGCGCCGGATCATGAGGAACACGTCCTGGGGGCGGCGGGCCGGCGTGAGCGCTGAGCCCGGCCCCCCCGCTCCCCCGCCGCTGGCCGTCCCCACCCCCACCCCGCGCGGCCCACCGCCCCCCGTCGACCCCCGCCGGCCCCGGCCCGCCGCCCCTCCCCCCGCACCCGCTCACCATCGCGGCGGCTGCCTGTACCCCCTCGACGCGCCGGCGCGGCCGCGCTCCGCCCCGTTCCCGGCAGCCCGCGCGGCTCGCCCCAGCGTGCCTCGCGCCCTGCGGCCCCGCCGCCTCCGCCGCCGCCGCCGCCGTCGCCACCGCCGCCATTTTAAGTGATGCGAGCCAGCCGCTCGATCCGACTGCATGTCGGGCCGCCATCTCGGCGCCGTGGCCTGGTGGGCGTGCGGCCGGGGTCCCGCGCGGCCGGTGGCGGCGCCATCTTGGGAGTGGCAAAGCTGAGCCCCACCCCCACCCCTCCGTAGCAGTGAGGGGGTGGTCTGGACGCAGCATCGGCCGGATGGCGGGGAACGTTGGGGACTGACGTGGCGAGTGTATAGTAGCCCCACATCCCAGGGAGGGTCAGTGAATGCTGTGCATCTTGGTCATCGGGGCGCAGGACTTTCGCGTCTCAACGACGCCTGGGCTGGTGTGTGTGGGGAGGGAAGTCTCATAATTGAGGGGCTCCCTGGCCGCCATTTTGAGGGGGTGATAATTCCGGCTCTTCCGGCAGCCCTCATGGGTGGGCTGTCCCCATTTCCACCGCCAGCCTTGCCTGGGCTTTGTGGCCGGGAAGGACCCTAGGAAGCTGCCCGTGGGCTGGGGGAACTCCCAGGGAAAATGTCCTAAGGCTCCGGGGGACTGCGTGGCTCAGTAAGTTAAGGTCTGTTTTCTGCTCGGGTCATGATCCCAGGGTCCTGGGATCCAGACCCCCCACTGGGCTCTTTGCTCAGCGGGGAGTCTGCTGCCTCCGCAGTCTCCCCCTGCTTGTGATCTCTCGCTTGCTCGCTCGCTCTTTGACAAATAAAATCTTTTTTTAAAAAATGCCCTAAGCCTTTGCCAAAGTTGGTGCTCGCTCCCCAGGGGAGGAGGAAGGAGGAGCCCCCCAGCCCAGGGGCCTTGGCTGGCTCCGTGCACTGGGGTTCTGGAAGGACCCCTCCCGTAGACTTGGTTTCCCTGGCTGGCTGTCCTTGCAGGGGGCTTCCCTACCAACAGCGCAGGCCTTGTCCTTGGGTCACTGTCCTGCCTTGCCCCAGGTAGCACTTACACTAGAGCAAGGGCAAGAGGTGTTGTCTCTCCCGTAGCCAGTACTGGGAGGGACAGAGCCTCAGCTGGGTCGCTCACGGCTCGTGTCCCCCATGCCGGGGCACCCAGGGAGCCGGTGGGTGGCCCTGCATGCCAAACAGCGCTGCCGATGTTGGGGGCTGCGATGTGATGATTCTCAAGAGTGGTTAGAAGCCGAAGCTGCTGCTGCCTTGGCCGGGAATCAAGCTGGTGACTAACAACCATTACCCTGAAGAAAATAAAGCTGCCGGTTATTTTACCAGTGAAACTGGGCTTACCTGGGGAAAGCGGAGAATTACAAGCCAGGACGAGCAAGCTGCAGCAAAGCCGTAGGCAGGTCGGCAGAGCGAGGGAGAGAAACTCTGGTAACAGGAAAGGCGAAACCGGGAGGGCTGTTGCAAACGAAAAAGTTTACTGGAATAAAGTGAGTTCTAGTAGTGGCTTCTCATTGGCTGGGCTGTTGCCTTCCTCCAGCTGGGGTAGTCAGGTAGCGTGCACCTGCCCGGGGGTGCGACTCTCCCCGTGGGGGCCTGGGGGCCGCAGTTGATGAGCGAGAAAGCTGACAGCGCCCCCTGCTGGCCTCCCGACTGCGTTCTAAACGAGGTTTCCTTTGACTAATTTTCCCCGGGCTGGGCTTGGTGTTCAGACCACCGGGGGATTCAAATCCTCCGTCCCGGTGCAGCCTGTGCCGCTTTGGACAGTTAAGGTCATGAAAGCCCAGTTTCCTCGTCTTTAAGAGGAGAGAACAGTTGTTTATAAAGTTCATGGATTTTCATCAAGAATCGGTAACTGGGGGTACCTGGGAGGCTCGGTTGAGCGCCTGCCTTTGGCTGGGGTGGTGATCCCCGGGGTCCTGGGACGGAGCCCCACACTGGGCTCCCTGCTCATTGGGCTCTCTGCTCAGCGGGCAGCCTGCTTCTCCTTCTGCCCCTCCCCCCTGCTCATATTCTCTAATAAAATCTTTTTTAAAATAAAGAATTGGTACTCAGTAGGTGTTTCTAAAACTATAACCAAAATGGTTATTTTTTACTTCTAGCCTCCGCCTCCTCCAGAGCCCCCTGAAGTCCTTTCCCCTCCTGTGACTCTTCCCTCCCTGATCCAGTGGCCGTGGCTCCCCGCTAACTCCCCCATCCCTGGGTGACCTCAGGAGGCTGTGGCGCGTCCTTGGCTGAGGCCAAAGATTTCCATCTTCATCTCAGCCTCTCTGTGTATAGAGATTTGGGGGCTTTAAATCCTGTACTGCTGAGGAAGGAGAGCGTGCGGCAGGGGAGGCGTGGGGACTGTGGGGACCGTGGGGGCCAAGGAGGTTCTCAGATGGGAGCTCAGGGGTGTGGGGAAAGGAGGGGCCTCCTCTCCGCCCACCATGTTCTGTCCCAGCTGCACCCTGGCCCATTGTCCCTAACGTGTGCACTCCTGCCACCTAGACACCTGCCTTATTAGGTTTGTCCTGGCCGGTGTCACAGCTCAGGATGCCTACCAGGAGTCACCCTGAGTGGGCCCACGCTCCATCCCTCCAAAGATCATGTCTGTCTCCGCCCACCCTCCAGCAGCCCGTCTGGGGTCAAACGTCAGCTTGGTAACTGTGATCTCCAGCAAGGCCCTGAGCCTTAACCTGCTTTCCCATCCACGAAGGGGATACACAGTTGGACTCTGCAGGGCACGTAGGGGTGTTACGGAACTAACACACAGCCCAGTGCCGGGGTTTGGGTGATGACTGGTGTCTGATTACAGCGGTCCCCGCTGGGAGAGGTCACCCAGCCTAGGGGAGGTGGCAAGGAGGGTGGGGGACCTGCCCAACATGCCCCTTAACCTCTCTGGGCCTGTCCCCACGTTGGCGAAAGTGAACAGGAGGAGGCCCCGTGGGTGTTCTTAGCGCAGCCAGGACATGCCTCGCAGGTGAGGGCCTTAGCCATCTTCTCCGCCCTCCCGGCCGCCACGAGAGGGCGAGCAGTGTCAAGTCAGAAGACAGAGGGAAACCGAGGCCACGTCAGCGGTCTTGGGAGGGCCTCAGGAGGCCATCTGGCTGCAGCGTCACCGGCTGGAGCAGCAGGGCAGCTGCGAAATGCCTGCCTTACAGGGGAGCCCAGCGTCCCCCTTGCCCGGGACTCCCCAGGACCACCCTGGGCGACCTGGTGCTCCCCTCCCCGGGGGCACAGCCCCCCGGCCTGTCACCTAGCAGATCACATCACTCCCCACGCCCCCCAGCACCCCCACTGACCTTGCGGACCGACGCACAGCAGGAAGGAGCAGAGAGAAAGGGGGCCCGGAGCCCCTGCGCTGTGGGGAAGCAAGCGGAGAGAGTAAAGGGGACCGGAACCTCCGCCCTCCCACCCCCAGCTGCCCACAGAGTCAGACCGCCTGGGCCAATCCCAGCCTACCATCTACCCGTTGCATGGCGTGGGGCCTCAGTTTCCTCGTCTGACTGATGGGTATCAGGTGATTTCCCACGCGGCGGTGCAGCAAAGCCCTCCGCGTGGCATCTGGTAAGGGCTTCATGAGAAGCAGCTGATGTGTTGGCATGTGCGGACCCCTCCCCTCCAGCCCAGCTCCCGCCCCTCCAACTCCGGACTCTCCGGTTGAGCTCCTAGGTTACCCTTCCGAAACACGGGGCCCTCTGAATGCGGACCCACTCCTCCAATCGCAGCAGGCCCGCGGCTGAGGCAGGCCCGCTCCCAGCCCCTGGCTTGTGCCCATCTCGGCGCTTCGGGAGGCATCCTGGGGAAGGTCCCTTAGCTGGCTACAGGCTGAGGGAGGGAGCGAGGATGGCCAGCATCACCCAGTAGGGGCCACCGGGTTCCCCTTGCGGACGTGCCCATAGCCATGCCCCATTCTGGACACCCTGCTCCCCAATAACCATCCCCCAAGGACAGTGGAGCGCTTCCCTGGACGGAAGGCCCTCGGCCGCGGGGAGAATGCAGTCTGGAGCCCTCTTGTGGCCCAAGTCTGTGGGCCCACCCTGCCCGCCCGGCCTGGTGCACCTACCTTCCTTCTCTCCTCGGAGGGAAAGGAGGAGGCAAGAATCAGGCCTGCACCCCCACCCCGCCCCCGCCACCCCTGGGGCCGCATCTTTGATGATGGCCTCCTCCAGGTCTCCTGGCCCCACTGACCCTGTTAGCCCCAAAGATTAGGCTTTGGGGTTCCCAGGTTTTGCTCAGTTTCTTGATCTTTCTGCAAACACGGAGCTGTATCTACTGGGATGGTCGGTCTTCCACCTGCCAATGAGCAGACGGCAGGGAGGGCACAGGAACCAGGTCCCAGTCACACAAGGGCGGGCGGGGAGCTGCAAGGGGCCTCACCTGGTTTCCAGATGCAGGTGGCAGGGGGTGGTCCTGGGCGTGGGGGTCTTCGCCACAGCCGGGACACAGCCCCAGACTCTCCCCAGCAAGGGGCCCCGCCACAGAAACTAGCACGGCCGAAGCTCTGGCCAGGCCTGTCTAGGGGCTCCCAGCTCTCCCTGGATAGAGGGCATGGGGCTAGGTATCCCAGGCTCCTGAGCCTTTTAGAGCCTAGGGCTGGCCCACCCAGACCTCGGGGGCACCTCTCCTGCAGGGGGGCGAGGTCTCTACTCGTTTTCTATTGCTCTGTCGGAAATGACCACCACTCACGGAGCAGCCTGCAACACCCACATTTATTAAGTCACAGCTCTGGGGGCCACGAGTCTGGGAGGGCTCCACTGGGTTCAAGGGCTTGGCCTGTGGGGTGGCCTGATGGGCTCTCAGCTGGAGGCCTAGGGGGAGTGGGGGGGCACTGCGTCCCAGGTTCATTCAGCTCCTTGTGGTTGTGGCAGGGAGGAGCTTCCCTGCCGGCTGTCAACTGGGGCTCCCCCGCAGCCATGGAGAAGCATCTCCTGGGCCTGAATCCCTCTCATACTTTGACTGTCCCCAACTTCCTCCAGACAAACAGACAAATGGGGCCCAGAAGCCAGACGGCGCACCAGCTGACTTGCCTGTCTCTGGGCACCCAGGGGCTGCAGCTGAGAAGGGTAATATGAGCGGGAAGGGGAGGGAAAGGGAGGGATTGTGACACAGCCCCCCTCCCCCCCCCCGCCCCACGGGAGGCTCCTGGAGGAGGGCTGGTGGCTAGGGCTTGGTGGGCCCTACAGAGGAGACAGGGATGGACAGGTGGATGATACCACCCGTGAGCCTCAAGTCGGAGGTGCAAGGCGGGGGGACTGCGCAGGTCCTCAGAGGGACCCCAGCCTCTGGCTCCAGGTCAGTGTGACTGCATTAGAGGCTAAGGCGAGCCTGAATCCAGGGGCTGTAAGTGGCCACATTGGTGTAGACCCCTGGACGGTTGGGCAGGGCACAGCCCTTGCCCCAGCTCACCACGCCCACCAGAACCCAGCGCCCAGATCTCATGCAGGTCAGGGGTCCCCCAGAGTCACCCTGCAGGAGAAAGGCAAGCTTAGGTCTCAGCCCTTTGAAGATGTGGGAGGGCAGTCCCAGGGCTCCAGTCCCCGAGGTGCTGCCTCCGGGTTAGGGGCCAGGATGGATGGCCCCTCGGTCTTGGGTTCCAGGGAAGGAGGGAGGGTGCTAGGCACAGGACCTAGACTCCAGGGCTCCAGGCAGCTTTGCGCACCTGACAGGCGTCTTTGTGGCCCTGGACGTAGCCTGCACACAGGTTTCCTGGCAGCACGATGTGCTCAGTGCCGGGCACGTCGGTGCCCACGTGGTACAGATGGTCACAGGTGCGCCTGTCCAGCAGTGGTACCCTCACTCCCTGCAGAGGTCGCCAGTCTGGAAGTGGCACTGGGGTCGGGGCAGGGGGTGGGAGGAGGACTTCTGAGAGCTGGGAGAGACCAGGGCTGACGAGCCTGACCCGGCGGGCCAGGCACGACTCGCCGTCTGACTGGGAGGAGGACAAACAGGGAGCACCTCCCCAGAGGTCGCGCCAAGTCCCAGACAGGGACAGCGCGGGGCTGGGGTTCCCGGTCAGAGGGTGATGGAGAGGAGTCCCCGCCCCCGGCCTCACCTCCCGGGTGCAGGCTGCCCCAGCCGGTGACCCAGCACGGTGTGCCGGTGGGCGGGCGGGCCCCGGGCTCGGGCAGGCACACGGGCTGGACGCGGGCGCTCAGGGGCACCGGGCGGCGTAGCTGCAGCAGCGCCAGGTCGCCGCGGGCGCCGTCCTCGGAGAAGTCGGGGGGCAGGAGCACCCTGCGCACGGGCGCCGAGAGCGCGCGGGGCGAGGCAGGGACCAGGCGCAGCGCCCCCAGAAGCACGCGGTACTCGGACAGCAGCGTAGGCCTGCACGACCCGGCCAAGCTGGCGAGGGAGCCCCGGGCCCCGCCCCCCCGCCCAAGGCCCCGCCCCCCGGGGCCCCGCTGCCCGCCCCTACCCGGGGCCCAGCAGCCCGCCGCCCGCCGACCTGGGCAAGCAGTGCGCCGCGGTCAGCACCCACTGCGGGGCGATGAGCGAACCCCCGCACACGTGCGCCCCGCGGTGCTGGATGCTCGCCTGCCACGGCCACTGTCCGACCCGGGCGTCCCGGCCTCCCACGATCCGACTCGACACCTGGGGCTGCCCGCAGTCTGCCGGGGACAAGGGGGACTCGAGGGAGGGCAGAAGACGGGGGTGGGGGGTAGGCTGCGAGGTGGGTGGGGTCGGGGAGACGCCGGGCCGAGAGCGCAGGGACCCTGAGGCGTCCTCACCTGCGGACTCCCGCGTCGCTGTCCCAGCAGCTCCTGGAGGAGGAAGCAGCAAAGGGAAAGGCCTGGATTAGGAATTTGGTGTCAGATAACGGGGCTCGGGGGAGGGATGTCGGAGATTAGGAAGGAGGGTGGAACATACTTGTCACACGGATCAGGTGCCAGGCTTTTGTGCAATCACCACACTGGCCTGGTTACCTGATTTAACCCTCCCAGGGCAGCCTGATGGGCGGGGGTGGGGGGTGTCTCACACCCCTACACACATGAGCACATAGGAGCTTGGAGAGCCCACGGTCAACAACAGGGAGAATGGAACCAGTGAAGCCAAGATTAGGGTGTCCCCGAGTGCTCTAGGGGAACCAGGCCAGACAGGGGTGTGATGGGACATCAGGGACCCCCCCCCCCAGCCCTTGACCCCCACTCACCCAGCAGCAGTAGGACCAAGACCCCGAGGCAGGAAGTCCCACTCATGGTGTCTTCAGGGCTGGGCCTGGTAAGGGTGGCACAGCTTAGGGTGGGGGACTCTGGTCAGAGCCTGCAAAGAGATGGAAGGAGGGTCCTAGCCCAGGCCCCAGAGGCCCTCTGTCTTCCCTCAGCCCCTGGTTGGTCCTGGATCTATCCTGGCTCCTGGGGCTGGGGGACGGGGGCAGGTCCTATGCACGGCCCTCTGCCCACGCCCCAGAGACCACACCTGTCCCCCCAGCTCCCACAAGATTTGAACCCCCTTGGCCTCCCCAGGCCCCCACCCCACCACCTTAGCCCCTCTGCCTGCCGGCCGCCGTCACCTGCCCCAGCAGTCCCCGAAGCCTGCTCTCACCCTCTGGCCGGTGCCCTCCCTGCTGACTGCGCAGGGGAGGACCTGGGGGCTTAAAGGGCCAGAGGGGGTGGGGGCCTGGCCAGGGGGTGATTAAGGAGCCAGGGCGGGGCTGTGGCTTCACCAGTGGAGCCTCAAACAAAGATGCTTTGAGCAGCACTTTCGAGGTGGCAGGAAAGGGACTCCTGGGTTTGTCAAAGGACACCTGGCTTGGGCTACGGTCCTGGGAGCTGGGGGTAGGGGCCTGGGCTCAGGCGACCAAGGATAGGGGTGGAGGGCTGCGGTCAGGCCAGGAAGCGCTAGAGAATCCCTGGCAGCTCATCTCTGAACCTGATCCCAGCTCCTGGCTGCTGTTCGTGCCGGTCACGGAGCCTGTGAACACTACCATTCTGTCCAGAAATCCCGGCGCGGCCGCCCGCACCGAGCTCTACCCAGCTCCCCGCCCTGCACTAATTCAACGCGAGGGACGGCTGGTTCAAAGCCGCCAGCACTCCTTGCTTGACCAGAAGCAGACTTGACCCTGAGGAACAGTCCATTCTTGAATTTGGTGTGGCCGGAACAGCGAGGCTGCTGGCCTCCGTGAACCTGGTCGATGCTGGGAACCAGGGTCGGGGGGTCGGGCCTGGACTGTGTCTACCACCCAGAAGTCTCTGGAGCTCTTTTCTGCCGGCTCACCTCCTCCTCATCCCGCAGCTGTCCACTCCGCCCCGGCCTCTTGGGGTGCCTTCCTGCCCAGCCCTAACGCTGTCCCAGGCACGTCACTGTGTGCGTTGACATGTGATGGAGGAGGCCTGATTCACGGCTGTTCATCTCCTCCCTGGGAGGTGAGGTCTGGGTGTCTGTCTCCGCTCCGCAGAAAGGCACAGTGAGCCCTGAAACAAGTGTGTCTCACCGTCTGGGAGGCTGCCAAGCCCAAGGACGTGGTGCCGGCAAGGGGGGGTCCCATCCTGACACCTCTGTTCCTGGCGCCTAGGCCACGGCTGTCTCTCAGCGCCCGCCCGCCGGCTCTTCCTGCCTCCGGGAGGAGAGGTGTTGGGACGCGGCGGGCGCTCTCGGACGTCTCTTATAAGAAGGAGCCTAGGGGACCAGAGCCCCGCTCTCAGGACCCAGCTTAACCCTGGCTACTTCCATAAAGGGCCGGTCTCTAAATACAGTCATGCGGGACGGTGGGCTTCAAAACGTGAATTTTGGAGGGGACAGAGACGTTCCGTCCACAGCGGTCCTCGAGGGCCAGAGCAATGTCCCGCGTGGAGCACAGCCGATGAGCCGGTGAGCACGGTGAGCGGGGCTGCGGGCCGGCAGTGAGCGCGGGGGCCACGGGAGAGGGAACCCGGTGCCCGCCTTGGATGTGGACGGACGGAGGGAGGGCAGCCGCAGGACTGACCCCGGCAGCCCGTGCTCCAGCCCGAGGTGTCCGACACTGGGCTGTGGCCCGCTCTCCCTGCAGTCCCCCAGCGTCGCAATCTCCTCTCCTGTGAGAGGCCGTTGTGAAGAGCGGGGTCAGCCCAGGCGCCACCAGGGAGCCTGGCTCACTCAAACGCAGTAAAAGGGCGAGGAGAATAAAAGCAGCTCCCTCCTGTCCTCCCCGGGCTCCTGACCTTTTATGACCTGGGGTTCAGTGGCCTCCCGAGGGCTTGGCGGCAGTGGGGCCGGAGGTGGTCCCTGTGGGGCAGCTGGAGAGCCCAGTGGGAGAGTGACAAGGGACCCTGGGGACACAGCCGCCTCTGAGGGCGTGGAGTGAACTCGAGGTGGGAGCTGGCCGGCTCTAGTGTCCTCCCGGCAATTACCTTTCTGACTGATCTAACCAGAGGCGGTCCTATGATTTGCCCCCCAAACTTTTCAGATAGCACGGAGGAGGCTGAGAGGCAAAGGGACGACCTATTCCGAGCGGCAAAAGAACAGAACCATCAACCGACAATTCTGTGTTGGGCAAAACTACCCTTCAGGAAGCGAGGGAGAGTTTAAGAGATTCTCCGATAACCAGATGCCAAGGGGGGCGTCGCGGGCAGACCCACCGTGACACGGAGCGCGAAAGGGATCTGTTCTCTGCAACGGACACTGCATCCTTTCACGGGAGGAGAGATGGCACGGGAAGTGTTCTTACAGTCTGGGTTTGTCACTTCTCTTTTCTCCTTGCATAATTGAAGACACATGCATAAAGCAATCGGACGTCTCTGCTCACGGTTGCACGACATGGAAACGGGACACTAACAGCTTAACAGGGAGGAACAGAGCTGTACAGGGGCAGAATTTCTCTATACTACTGAAGCTGAACCAGTATTGATTCAAAATAAATTGCTATAAGGGCGCTCGGCAGGCTCAGTCAGTGGAGAATATGGCTCTTGACCTCAGGGTTATGAGTTCAAGGCCCACATCAGGTGTAGAGAGTACTTAAAAATTAAAAAAAAAGAAAATCTTGAATAAAACAAAATGAAGTAAGTTTAAGTTGTTGATTGTCACCCCCGGGACAACCTCTACAAAAACAGAACAGGAAATGGGAAGGGAATCAACACAGGACAGTAATAAAACTCAGTGAAACAGGAATGCCTGGGTGGCTCAGTGAGTTAAGCCTCTGCCTTCGGCTCAGGTCATGATCCCAGGGTCCTGGGATGGAGCCCCATGACGGGCTCTCTGCTCAGCGGGGAGCCTGCTTCCCCCTCTCCCTGCCTCTCTGCCTGCTTGTAATCTCTCTGTCAAATAAATAAATAAAATATTTTTTAAAAAAATCAATGAAACGCAAAGGGAGGAAATAAAAAATATCCAGGACATAGACGTAGCTATTAGACACGACAAGATACAGGAAGCAAACAGAACAGCGGGAGAGGTCCCCCTTACTCATCAGTAGTTAATTTTAATGTAAATGGACTAACTACTCCGGAGGAGCCCCGTGGCAGGATGGATCGCAAACACAGGACCCCACCACATGCTGCGTGCAAGACATTTTAGAGTCGCAGCACACGGAGCTGGAGATGGAAGGTGGGGGAAGACAGGCCATGCGAACAACAGCCAGAAAGGAGCAGAGGTTGTGTCTGAACGTCAGACAAACAGACTTTCAGTTAAAACTTGTGAGAATCAAACAAGGACATTCTAGACTGATAACTGTCAAAATCATTAAGAAGACAAAATAATGACTAACATCTACACTCATACCCAGACCCAAAATACATGGAGCAAAATTGACAGAATGAGTGGGAGAAACGGTTCTGACCACCATGGGAGGCTCCATACCCCACTTTTAATAACGAGCAGAACCGCCAAAGAGGAGGTCAGCCGGAAGAGGACCGGAGGATGCCGGACAGTAACGAGATTTAACACACACTGACAGAACCTGCCTGGACAACCGGCAGAACACATGTCCCTCTCAGGCACGAGGGACACCCTTCAGGACAGACAGTAGGTCTGGCCACAAGATAAGCTGCAAGAAATTAGAAAAGATTGAAATTATATAAAACGTTTCCCCGGGGCGCCTGGGTGGCTCAGTCGTTAAGCGTCTGCCTTCTGCTTAGGTCATGATCCCAGGGTCCTGGGATTGAATCCCACATAGGGCTCCCTGCTCAGCGAGAAGCCTGCTTCTCCCTCTCCGCTTCCTGCTGCTTGTGTTCTCTCTCTTGCTGTGTCTCTCTCTGTCAAATAAATAAATAAACTCTTAAAAAAAAAAAAAAGAAAAGAAAAGTTTCACCAAGCACAGGGGACTAAGGCTGGAAGCTGCTAACAGAAGACTGAAAAATTCATGCATGTGCGGACCGAAACAGCATATTCCTCAATGGATTGAATTAAAAAAAAAAAAAATTCACAAGGAAAATGAGAAAACGCTTTGAAATGAATGCAGATGGAAATAAGACGCAGCAAAACTAACGGACGCAGCACGGGCAGCCCTCAGAAGGAAACTTACAGCTGGGAACGGCGACGTTAACACAGGAGAAAAATCCAATGTACTTGGATTGACAGCTTCAGGAATAGAAAAAGCAGAGTGCACTGACCTCAATGGTAGAAGAAAGAAGGAGATCGTAAAGAGAGGAACAGACAAAATCAAGCTGGGGGTAGAAGAAGAGAGGAAATCAACGAAACCAGAATTTGGTTCTTTGAAAGACGGACAAAATTGACAATGAAAGTAAGGACGTTACTACTGACCTTACAGAAATAATGATGTCTGTAAGGGACTATGACCAGTTGTACCCCCAACAAATTAGATGACAGCAATGAGAGGTACAAAATCCTAGACCCACAAAAACTACCAAAACAGAATCAGAAAGAAACAGAACATCTGAACAGAGCAATTAAAAGACTGAATGTGGGGGCGCCTGGGTGGCTCAGTGGGTTGAGCCGCTGCCTTCGGCTCAGGTCATGATCCCAGGTCCTGGGTTCAAGCCCCGCATCGGGCTCTCTGCTCAGCAGGGAGCCTGCTTCCTCCTCTCTCTCTGCCTGCCTCTCTGCCTGCTTGTGATTTCTCTCTGTCAAATAAATAAATAAAATCTTTAAAAAAAAAAAAAAAGACTGAATGTGTGCTGGGAACTTCCCAGCAAAGACAAGCCTGGACCAGATGCCTTCAACGGTGAATTCCACCAGACATCTGCAGAAATGAACACCCATCCTCCTTGAACTCCTCCAAAACATAAAAGAGGAAGGAGCACTTCCTAACTCATTCCCGGGACTAGCATTATGGTGATGCCGTCTCCCAGACAAGGCATCCCGAGAGACAGAAACAATAGATCCATAACACTTACGGATGCTTGTGCGCAAGTCCTCACCAAATCGTAGCAGACTGAACCCAGCACAACTCAGAACAACCATACGTCATGGCCAAGTGAGATCTGGCCCATGAATGAAAGCGTGGTTCCACAGGTTTGAAAATCGATCAGCACGATGGACTTTATACATGAACAAAACGAAGGGAAGAAACCACAGGGTCAACGGATGCGGGCAAAGCACTTGGCAAAATCCCAAAACTCCTTTATTACAAAAGCCCTCTATAAACGGAATGGAAGGGGCTCCCTCAGCATGATAAACGGCATCTGTAAAAAACCCACAGCTAACATCATACCGAATGTCCAAGACTGAAAGCTATCCCCCTGGGATCAGGAAGGCGACAATGAGGCCAGTTTTTGCCATTTCTATTTGACATTTTACTGAAAGTTCTAGTCAGGGCAGTTAGCCCAGAAGAAGAAATAAAACACATCCAAACTGGAAAGGAAGAGGTGACAGTATCTCTACTCACAGACGATGCGGTTTCATATACAGAAAATCATAAAGGACACACAAAAGAGGACTACGTTAATAAGTGAAGTCAGTGAAATCGTAGAGTCCAAGATGGAGACATGAGTCTGTTATACCACCAGTGAATAATTCTAAAAGGAAATTTAATAAGAAATTTCATTTACAAAGCATCGGAAGTAATAAAAAGGGAATAAATTTAACAGGAGATGAAAGACTTATGCACAAAAAAGCTACGAAACATTGCTGAAAGAACTTGGAGACCTAGAAGCACCTGGGGGGCGTCTGACTCTTGATTTCAGCTCCGGTCATGAACTCAGGGTCGTGAGATCTAGCCCTGCACCAGGCTTTGTGCTCAGCATGGAGTCTCCTTGAGGTTCTCTCTCTCCTTCTCCCTCTGCTCCCCGCCTCCAGTTTGCATGTTCTCTTGCTCTCTCTCTTTAAAAAAAAAAAAAAGAAAAGAAAGAAAAAAAGAAATTTTTAAAAAGGATTTCATTTATTTGAGAGAGATAGTGAGAGAGAGCACAAGCAGGGGGAGGGAAAGAGGGAGAGCAGGCTCCCAGCTGAGCAGGGAGCCCCAAGTCGAGCTCCATCGCAGGACCCTGGGATCATGACCTGAGCCGAAGGCAGATACTTAATGGACCAAGCCACCCAGGGTCCCAAGGAAAAGGAATTAAAGACCTAAACAAGTGGAACTATATCCCCCGTCCATGGATTGGACACATAATGAAGATGGCAGCACGCCCCAAAGCAATGCACAGATTCAGCGCGACGCCTCTCCAAATCCCAATGCTCCTTTTAGCAGAAATTGGCAAGTTGACTCAAAGAGTCAGCTGGGCGGAGCTCAGTTCTCCCAGCAGGGACCTGCCCCCCGGGGACACTCCTGTGAGTGAGTCCAGGGGTCTGGAGGTTTTACTGTCCGGCTTCCACCCCATGAGCACAGAGCCCCTGTGGCGACATCAGCGCCTCCAGAGGTCCCGAGGGCGCAGGGTGGCCCTAGACCCTGCCGGCGGCCACACTATGAGCGTTAACTATCTGGAGGGGCACAAGGCTCATGTCTACAGAGATGCTCTTGTGAAGCAAGACATTCCAGAGGCTCAGAGGTGATTTCCTAGGAGCTGGTCGAGGGCCCCTGCTTTCTTTGGCCAGTGCCTGGGGGGAGCGTCGGCGGCCTGGCACTAGTCTGTGACCACTGCACAACCACCAAGGACAAAGCAATGTTCGCGGAAAGCCCATGCGCACACCAGGAACATCTGTTTGAATCAACGGCACCGCCTTCCAGGAGAACTGAGAGATGACAGGGAACAGGAGAGGAGTTGGAGGATCCTAGCTGCTGTCCCCAGGAAGCTCCTCCTCCGTGCTGGCAAACACGACACAAGAATTACCCAGGGAAAGAGTGAGCAGAGAACAAGAAAGGGCAGACCTTGAAGGTGCTGTTGGGAGAGATCGTTTGGGGCAAGGGCTGAATGAGAAAATGGATGTAGCTAAAGGGTGAACCGGCAAATTTGAAGAAAAGGTAGAGAAATCTGTTCAGACCTCAGAGCAAAAATACATGAAGATGGCAGGACAGAAAATAGTGCCGACAAGGAGGGACACACGAGGTCGGTCCCACAGCGGACAGTCGTCTACGCTGGGTGACGACTTGGTGCTTCCTGTTCTCCTCTAATCTGTGTATATTTAAATTTTTCTGTAGCAAAAAGTGTTTTAAGTAGAATAAAATCAAGGGTTGAGAGCAAAGACAAGGCAGGGCTCTAGATGTCTGGGAAGGTCAGCAGACCGTCAGCCCCGCCATGTCCCCGGCCGTGTGCCTGGCCTCGCTTGGAAGGCTGCGGTGGGAAGGTGTCTCTCCACCACCCTGCTCTGTACATTCCTAACACAAGGTCAGGAGACACAAGGGATGGCGTGAGCCCACACTGAGGAAGAGGACTGTGACATCACTTCTGAATCAAAGGGTTTGCTGGGTGACCTCATCCACTTGGGCTGCTGTGACAAAATACCATAAAGTGGCCGGGAGGTCACAGATAACAAACATTTCCTTCTCATGGTTCTTTGTGGGCTGGAAGTCTGAGGTCAAGGTGTCTGGTGAGCCGAGTGGGAGGGGTGGAGGGAGAGGGAGAGAGAGGATCTCAAGCAGGCTCCGTGCTCAGCCTGAAGCCTGACCTGGGGCACAATCCCACAATCCTGAGATCGTGACCTGAGCCAAAATCAAGAGTTGGGGACCCCACTGACTGACCCCCCCCCAGGTGCCCCAGGGCTAGGAATCTTAAGAATGAAATATACGGATATTTTACATTGACGCAAGTTACAAGTCGCTGACGAGATTATGCCTCCAACAACAGAGCTTTGAAATACGTAAAGGAAAAAAAAAAAAAGTTCCAAATACTCAAGATACAAATAAATCCACATTTTTCTCAGAAATCAAGAGATCTGGGAGATGGAAAAAGCAACAACACCAGAGTACTCACTGAACATGCTTTGGACCTAAATCAAGTATTTGGGGCTGCTCGGAAGCCCACCATGCCCCCCAGAGGGAGTGAGCCCCTTGGAGAAGGAGCTGCCTGGAGGCTGGGCTGACCGGGGGCATCAGGAAGGATGGGTATTTCTTGAGAAATGGATAAAGCTTAGCAATCAGGGAAAGTGTCCTGCACCCCTCCTCCCCCCAGGGGCCAGGCTGCCTGGCTCTGGTTTCGGGGCCCCGCAGCTCTAGAGAGGTAAGGCCAGCGCAGGGCAGGGGCCATCCAGGAGCTCGCTACGGGGTGGGGGGCGGGGAGGACAGGACTGTGCTCTCCAGCTGCTCCTGGAGGAATGTCTCCTCTCACTCTTCGTGCATCTGGGCCCCGCCTTAGGCCCCTAAGAGCCCCAGGGTGAAAACCAGCAGCTGAGAGAGCAGAGCGGAGTGTGTCCGAGGTTGGCAGTCCCCTCTCCGTCCCCCCGCACTGCGGCGCAGAGCACGAAGTTGAAATATCTGGCTTTTCCCCTCTAGGGCCTTGGTCAGGTCATTCGACCGCGGGAGTCTCACTGACTCTGCTGTAAAATGGGGCTCGTGACCGCTCCCGGGGAGTCGGGAGGCAGAGGCGCGGTTGACATAGGGCCGGCACACGCTGGGCGCCCCAGATGTGGTGGGGGTGGGTGGGTGCTCTGATGCCCGGGCCAGGGCAGGAAGGGGAGGGCGGGTCCTGAGGGTTTGGCCAAAGACGTGGGGGTGGCCAAGGACCCTGTGCCCAGGAGCAGTCTGGTGGCCTCGAGGACGAGGCGGGGAGGTGGCAGCCCCACCCCGGGGCAAGCCCAGCACTCGGGCTAGACTGCCGTCGTCTTGGGCTCCTCAAGTGCGTGGACTCTGCTCCCGGAAGTGGGGGCTGGAGCGCACCATGGAGCTGGCCCTTACTGCCACCCTGCTCGCCCTCCTCCCCACGGCCCTCCAGCAGAGCACTCCCCTCCCAGCCAACCTCTCTGTGACCCGTGCCTGGGCGAGAAGCCTGGATTCAGGTAGGACAGATCCTGGGGTGGGGGAGACGGCCACTGCAGGACAGAGAGCCTGGGGGCCAGGTTGACAGGGGCATCAGAAAGGATGGGTCCTTCTGGAGAAATGGATAAAACGTAGGAATCGGGAAAGTGTCCTGCATTCAGGGGGCAGATCAAGAGGAGTGTGTAATTCCTTCCCTGCCCCTTCTACCCTGTGCTGGGGCATGTTCTCTAAGGAACCCTGATGTTGGGAGACCCTGCCAGACCTCAGCCCCTTCACCGTCCCCGCCGGCCAGGTGCACAGTGGCAGGCACCGGGCCACAGACAGGAGCCCTGAGCCAGCGGCTCCCAACTCCCCTCTCCCCTCTGAGCCTGAAAAAACCACCCAGCCCCCCAGCTCCCACTTCCCCCGACTCAGACTCAGCGACTCAGCGGCTGCGCGCCCCGCCCTCCCAGGGCCACCAAGTCCTTCCCTCCAGCAGAGGGTCCTGCATCACAAGGAAGTCCACCTTGGGGAGGCTGGGAGGGACCAGGTGCCAACCCGTGAGTGGCAGGGATTGGCGAGGGCAGGTCTGGGGGGCCAGGGGATCCCAGGCGGGACCACGCCTAGCCGGCCCATGGCTCCCCTTGCAGAGTGTGGACGCCCACACGTGTCAGGCCGCATCCTGTCGGGGCAGGACGCCACGCTGGGCGAGTGGCCGTGGCAGGTCAGCCTGAGGGAGGAAGGACAGCATGTGTGCGGGGGCACCCTGATCGCTGAGGCCTGGGTGCTGACTGCGGCCCACTGCTTCGACCAGTGAGTACCTCCAGGGGGCACCGCTCTGAGCTGGGGGTCGCGCTCCCCGACACCCTCCCTTCCCCATTTGAACCACAGCCTTCCACGCATCTGGAGCTGTGTGAGGGAACATCCTTCTGGAGCATCACTTACCCGCCAGGATGGCCCCTGTCCTGGGCCCCGCCCTGGGGAGAGTGGGGGAGGGACAGACCCGGCCTGGCTCTCCATCACTGGTGAGAGGATTCATTTCCCAGAGACCAAAGGCTCCCATATGGGGATCTCTCGAGAAGCTGAGGCCTCCAGTCCACTGCCCAGCATCTGGACGGCACGTGGACAGGTGACCGCCTCTCAAGCTGATTCACACTCACCGGATGGACGGGGTGCTGGGGTCTGTGCAGGGATGTCTTGAGGAGTAAATGGGGTCCTTTTCGTTTCTGGCATGTGCTCCGCTTGCAAAGCTGTCTATAATGTCAGGACCCTCAAATCAAGACGGTCACTTCCCCCAACCCGTGAAACCTGGCACAGCTTTCCTGACCCCACCCCCCACCCCCCGGACTCTCTCACCTCCAGGAAGCAGCTGCTGTCTGCCTACTCCGTGCTGCTGGGCTCCATCTCCTCCTACCCCCAGGCCGAGGAGCCCCAGGAGCTCCGAGAGGTGGCTGAAGTCATCATCCACCCAGAGTACTTGCCGGAAACCAGCAGCGCGGACATCGCCCTGGTGCAGCTGGCCTCCCCTGTCACCTACAGTGACCTCATCCTTCCGGTCTGTCTTCCCAAACCCGGAGACCCCCTGGATCATGGCACCTGGTGCTGGGTCACCGGCTGGGGGAACATCGACTTGAGTATACGTAAGGACGCCCGGGTGGGGAGGAGCCCCATAAAGGGTGGCCATGGAGTCCGCACACACTGTTGTGCGCGCGGCAGAGGGGAGCCCTGGAAATACGGCCCCGAGCGTGGACAAGCGGCCTGCCACCCCAGACCCTCCCTCAGGCTCCCCAGGCTGCCCTCCCAGCACACGACACCCCAAGGATGAATGCTGGCCCAGACTGGGGCCCAGGCCCTTCTGACGCGCCCCATACTGGTTGGAGAATGCGACGCACTTCCCTCCCCACCACCGTCATCCTGGAGGCACAGGAACTGGGGCCAGACTCCCTGGCCTTTGTCCTGGCTGGGTGACCTCACCAGCCTCGCTGGGCTGTGGCTGCCCCCTCAGAGAAGCAGAGCCTTCAGGGGATGATACATTTCAGGCGTGTCCCACAGGGCAGGGCAGGAGCAAGGTCCACGGTGTGGCGGGGCCATCGTGGTCACTGTCAGCGCGATCACCGCTCATCGGTGTCCTGGGCCGCCACGACAAACCAGCACAGCCTGGGGTGGGCGTTCAAACCACTGAAATGTAAGCTCTCACGGTTCAGGATGGCACGAGGCTGAATTCAGGGTATTGGCAGGGCTGGGCTCCCTCTGGAAGCTCCAAGGGAGGACCCTTCCTGCTCCTTCTGGCTTCTGGTGGCTCCTGGTGATGCTTTGTGTCCCTCGGCTGGTGGCTGCATGCCCCCACCTATCCCCATCTTCACAGGGCCTCTCTTCTGTGTGCCCCTACGTGTCCCCTCCTTTTCTGTCCTGCTGGATCCCATATGACTTCATCTTAACGAATTAATCTGCAAAGCCCCCATTTCCACAAAGCTCCCATTCTGTGGTGCGGGGTGGGCTTGAGTTTTTGAGGGGCGCGCTTCAACCCGTTTTTGGCCAGAGCCTTGGAGAGCCACGAACAGTCGGGTCATCTGGTGGAAGTGACTTGACCACACTCTGTGGCCAGGGCCAGGCCCTGACACCGGGTCTTAGCTCTTGGCCAGCACCCCAGTGTGTCCCCAGCCCGCACCCCCCATCCTGCCCTGGCCTGGGCACTGGGAGGGCAGCCAAGCCAGCGGGGAGCTCCGCACCTCTGTGCACGCCCCGCCAGAGGAGGAAGGGAACGGTTCTTCCTTGTGCTTTGAATATTCAACGCGGGCTCACCTGAGCACCCAGGCTCGTGGGTCAGGGACTCCCAAACACCAGTGCAGGCCCAGGGTCCTCGAGAGGCAGAGCAGGGGAATACTGAAGTAACAAGAACAGGCTTCTTGTCATCAGTCCCGCTGTGCATGGGGGAGCGGGGATGGGCCTGCGAGAGCCCGTGGACAGTCACCTCCCGTCTGAGCGCTGCTCTGCTCCCCACCCCAGCGCTGCCCCCACCCTTCACCCTGAAGGAGCTGTCCCTGCCCCTCATCGATGCCCCAACCTGTGACGGCTACTACCACGAGAACTCGGACACCCCCATCCAGGAGCCCATCATCCTCGAGGACATGCTCTGTGCTGGCTTTGAGAGTGGCCAGAAAGACGCCTGCGGGGTGAGCAAGCACCCTCCGGGAGGGGGGCGGGCAGCAGGATCTCCCACTCCCCAGCACCCCCGGGAGCCCCCCCAGGGTGGAGGAGGGCAACGTTGCTTTAAATACCTGAGTCAATTCCAATAGAAATCACGTTCTCTCCCCAGTCTCCCTTTAAATGTATCGTATCGGTATTATCAGAAATGAAATACTTGAAAAGCGTTCAAGCAAACGGTGACCCTATCCTTATTCCTATAGCTCTTCTTTGTGGCCCAGAACGGTCTTTTTTTCTTTCCCAAAAAGAACTTCAAGGCCTCTGAGCTGATTGCCCCCAGGACCAGGTCACTTCTGGGCTGGGTTGGTGTCCTCTTTCCTCGTCTGCTTTCACAGGCAAAATGCACATTCTCTCACACGCCCTCTTAGCATTGCTTTATCACAGATTTTTTTCATCCCAAACGAAGCAAACAGCATTCTTAGCAACACCAAAGTGCCCCCCCCAGCCCCTACCCTGACACGCACAGTTGTATCTGGAGAACGCGGCATTCCCGTGCCACTGCTTCTCCCACCTGCCAGACAGTTTGCCTAGAATTCCCAGACCTCTGTTGCCTTCCAGAAACATCCAGCCTGCCGATCCTCCGTCCACCAGACCTAGCTAGCCGAGCTGAAGGGAGGTTGGTGGGCCCAGGGAGATCCCTGGGAACTTCCTTCCCCCTCGCAGTCCCTACACTTCTGGACGCCTCCTTTGTCCCTAGGGTGACTCCGGGGGACCCCTGGTCTGTGACGTTGGTGGAGTCTGGGTCCAGGCAGGCGTGGTAAGCTGGGGCTCTGCCTGCGGACTTCCTAAAAGGCCGGGAGTCTACATCAACGTCAGCACGTACGCCACGTGGATTGCCAGCACCATCCCGGGCTTGGACCTACACACCGAAAACTCTTCTCCACGTCTTGCCGGGCTCTTCTTCCCGCCCGTGCTGCTGGTTCTGGGGCTGCTGGGGGACACGTTTGCCCCCCTGAGGCTGGCCTAACCAGGCAGCCAGCCCTGCAGACTCAGCCTCTGCTGTGGAAACTCAGGCCCTTTCTCTGGGGTCTGCGGCATCTGTCTGGAAACCCCTCCTGGAGCCCTCCCAGGAAGGCCCCCTTCCACCACTGTCCATCCAGGTCTGAGTCCCAGGGCGCACACACACTCTGGGATTCCTCTGGCCGCTTGGGGGACTTGTGGAACTGGGGTTTCCAGCCCCCAGCACAGGGCAGGTGCCTTTGCAGGCCTGTCTCGTCTGAGCGGCAATAAAGAGAAGCCTGCAGGCAGAAGGCCCTTCCTCCCTGCGCCTCCGGGCCCCAGAGAGTGTCTGGGAAGGCAGCTCCCACTTGCGGGAGCTCTCACACCAGGGTGCCGCTGGGTGCAGCCCCGGGAGGTACATGTTACTCCTATTTCCAGTTCTTCAGACATGGAAACTGAGGCTGAGGGGAGTTGGGTTTATATCTGGGCAGGAGCTGGGAGGAGATGAGGGCAACCTGAGCCTGTTCTGGTAGGAGTTTCAACCCCCGTCCTGGGACAGCCGCCACCCCGGCCTATGCCTGGCTCTCCCATGCACAGGTGAGCCGAGTCGTCCCATCCTTCAGTGGCCCCCTCTGCCCCGAGCAGCAAGCTGAGACCCCTTCACCCTCTGGAGCCCCTAATTACCCCTCCAGCCCTTTCTCCACAGCGTCCCCAGTCCCTGCTGCTGAGCCCACCGGAACCCCATGCTCCCCTCTCTGGAGCCTTCTCTGCACGCACAGGGCCTGTGGGTCCCCATCAGGGCTGTCTCCCGATGGCCACATAGCCAGGGAGCTGCCCCCATCCCCAGCGCTGGGCCTCTCCGGGAGGGGGAGCAGCCATGCAGGTAGGATGAGGGGCTGCGGTGAGGGACGGCCTGAGCGCTGAGCCACAGGTGTCAGAGCAGGCCCCCTGCACGGCCCGCCCTGGGGGAGAGGGAGCCCGTGTTAGATCTCCAGGATCATCTGGGGCCCAGACCACAGCTATGGGCTGACCACCAGGGTCACAGCTGCAGTGACTACACCCCCGAGGCCCCACACGCGTTTCCAACACGTGTCAGCCAGGCACCCGAGGGACGAATGTGAGTCCCTTGTGCATATGAACAACAGACACGAACTCTGGCTGCTGCTGCTCGTCTACTCCAGGCACTTCCCCTGGGGGCACCTCCTGGGGTGGCAGCCGAATGTGACAGTGTGCATGAGGGAGCGAGAGGAGGACAGGCTATCGCCTCGCCTACCAAGGGGGTCTCAGTGACCTGAGCCTTGCACACCCTGCCTCTCCATCCCCAGGAGCTGACAGCCCCCAAGGAGCTCCAAGGGGACACCTGATGAAGCCCATGGTCAGGGCCACTCCTGGGCCACTGATGTCTCCCCTGTGCTCCTCCACACCACTCCTCCCAGGCCAGGAGACCTGGAGGCCCTCAGGGAGGCAACAACAGGGACCTCGAGAGCCAGGGCCCCTCCAACCCGGGAGATGCTCTGCCAATCCGCATCCTTCCTTTTCTACCTTTTCTCCTTCCAACCCTCCCTCCCTTGGCTCTCCGTCAACCCTTCAAGTCCACATACATCAAGCCTGTCACACAGAGGTCCTGGAGGCTGACAGCCAGACGCACACGTGACCAAACAAGATCCTTTTGGATATCGCTAACTTCTAGGAAGAACATACAGGGGGGCAGTGAGACAGTTGGGGAGCAGGAGGGGGGCACGGAGCTTGCTGTGGCATCAAGATCTGAAGTCTGCAGGGAGAGGTCGTCCCAGGCTGGAGCAAGCTCGGGGTGCACTAGGAAAAGACAACTGGGGAGGGGAGGGATTCAGGGGTAGGAGGGCCCTGGGCGAGCCTGGACCTGCGGCGGAAGCGATCTTCTGGGCTGCAGCAGAGAAGGGACGGCCTGGGCTCTCTGTGCAGCTCCAGCAGGTGGGCGCAGCATGCCACACGGGCCCCTGCCGCGGGGAACTCGCAGGAGACTGGCCAGTTATGGTGCTGTGGTGCCAAGGGCCACAGAGGGGGACTGTCGTAGGGAAAATCTTGCCCCCTTGCCATGCCTGGGGCCCCAGTCCCACCTAGCAACGGCTTCCCACAGGGACCTGTTCAGTCCCTGAGTCCACCTGGCTGAGCCCGTGCCCACCACCCCTCACTCTGCAGGTGATTTGGTGGGGGGCACACCAGGGTGCAAAGTCAAGGGGGTCTGGTGACAGGCCAGCTTCAATATCTGGAGAAGGTTCCAGGGTCACCAAGCATCCAGTGTCTCTCACCGGTGTCCCCCTCAGTGTGCCCGCATTGAGGGCACTGCGCGGAACTCTCCTGCTCATGCAGGTAGGGGAGCCGGCCTCCAGGTAGGGGCGCTGGCTCTGCAGGCTCCTGCCTCCAGCACCTGATCCCTTGGCCACTCATTGCCCAGGCCCAGCTGAGTGTGTTGTGGGGCTTGGCCCACCCGCAAGGCTCCCACAGAGCGGACACCTCTGGACACCCCTGCCAGTGCAGACTGGCTCCCCTGCCTGGAAGGACCCCAGAAGCTGATGCTGGGAAACTCACAACTTTGCCTATACCACCACATGCCCAATAGCGCTCAGGACACAGACAAGGACACTAAGAAGTCACAGCCCTCCCGGAAGCCCCACTGGGAGAGTCACTGGTCACAGGGACGCCGAGATGGATAACCTCCCGGTGTCTCTCTCATTTAGGCCATTTCACTCCCCCAGGGTCCCCATGCAAGAAAGTAAGTTTGTTAAAGGTGGTTTCAACGTCCAAAATGTAAACTGAAGGAGGATGACGAGGGCTGCGGCCTGCCTTGCCAGCTACTGGCCTGGAGTGGGCTCAGGGCTCGACAAGACCCGAGACTACCATTTCCCCCAAGAAAGGAAGAAAGGGATCTTCTCTTCTTGGCTCAGCCCCTTACTGCCAGGCCCCCGACGGGCGCTCAGGGAGCATGTGTCAACGTGTTCTCACGGGAGTCCTGGCCCTGGGCCCGCCAGGGCCCTTCCCAGAGGAGGGGGTGGCTGGAGGAACGGGGGAAACTGGGGGGGCGGCCAGGACCCCAGGGTCGCCGACAAGCAGAACTGCGCGGGTGCAAATTGGACCCAGCCCAATTTGGGGTTCCGAGCCCTGCGCCAGGGGGCCCGAGGTTACCGGACCACGGGCCCCTCCCTCCTGGAGAGGTCCGAGGGGGCGGGGGCCGGGAGGTGGGGGCCGGGGTGGCGGGCGCTCCCTCTCCCCCAGGGGGCGCCTGGGCCAGGCCCCCAAGCGGGCGGAAGCAGAGGGGGCGCCACGCGGCGGGAGAGGAGGCCATGGACGCGCGCGTCGGGGCGCTGCTGCTGGCGCAGCTGCTGGTGCGAGTGGAGCTCGGGGCGCAGGGTGAGCTCAGGCAGGGGTGCCGGCAGCCCAAGGGCTGGGGGCGGGGATGGGGTGGGGCGTGTACAGACCGGGCGGAGCTCACCCGTCCCCCCGCCACCGCCCCCCAGAGTTGAAGGACGAGGACCAGCTGTTTGCAGGTAAGGCGCCCAGGACGCGCGCTTCCCCGCGCGGGCCGCAGAGCCAGAGCGCAGACGGCGCCTCATCTTCTCCTCTCCCCCCGCCCAGGTTTCGAGAACTCATCGTTGCTCACGTGTAACTGCCGGGCCCCTGGGGGGAGGGGCGGGCGCCTGCGGACCTCGTGGGGAGGGTCCCGGGGTCCCCCGGTCCCCCTGCGGCGGGACCCCCCGACGTGCGCCCTTCCTTGTTGCCCGGGAGCCCCTTCCCTTCGCGCGGGCGGGCGGGGTCCTGCAGCTCAGCCGGGTGTCCCTCCGTCCGTCCCAGGGCCCTGCGGCCAACGAACCGTTTCGACGCGCATCGTGGGCGGAAAGGACTCAGAGCTGGGGCGCTGGCCGTGGCAGGGCAGCCTGCGCCTGTGGGGCTCCCACCGCTGCGGAGCGAGTCTGCTCAACCGCCGCTGGGTGCTCACAGCCGCGCACTGCTTTGAAGAGTGAGTCTGGGTCAGGCGGGTCGGGTCATGCGCGCCCTTTGGGTGCGGATATGGCCTGCCTGTTCTCCTGAGCTCCAGGCCTGGCTGCAGGCACGTGAGGCAAACCCTGTTCCCCTTCTTCTAGAATGTTCTTCAGAGCATTCACAAGCACTTTTGTGTTGTGTTTTTTTCTGTCTTCTTTTCTTCCCAAATGACAGCACCAGGCGTCCCCTTCCTCATCCCAGGTCCAGGTGGAGGTGTACTGGGGGTGGGAGGAGGTGGGTAAGTGCTGGGCCTGTCCTGTGGCGAGGGTGGTGGTCGAGTTCTCCACCTGCCCTGGTCCTGTGCATCTGTTCACTGTTTTAGGACGGCTGCGGGAGGTGACAGGCTGGCTGAGTGGCCAGACCAGGCCCCGGGGGGAGACATCCTGCTTCCCCACCCCTGTCCCCACCCAAGACATCAGGTGTGCTCAGGGGCCGGGCCTCCTCTGAAGACCCTGCCTGCTCGCTCTCTCGTCCCTGCCAGCCACAGTGATCCGTTCGAGTGGTCCGTCCAGTTCGGCGAGCTGTCTTCCTCACCGTCTATCTGGAATCTGCAGGCCTACTACAACCGGTACAGTGTGGAAGAGATCATTCTGAGCCCTCTGTATCTGGGGGCTTCGTCCTATGACATCGCCCTGCTGAAGCTGTCCTCCTCCGTCACCTACAATAAGTACATCCAGCCCATCTGTGTTCTGACCTCCTCCTCTGAGTTCCAGAACCGGACCGACTGCTGGGTGACTGGCTGGGGGGACATCGAAGAAGAACAGGGTAGGGCTGCGGGCAGGGGCCTGGGGCGGGGGGAGCCTCACGCCCCACCATCTGTTCCGTCCGCACCTAGGTCTGGGTGCAGCTGGGTCCCTCCTGGGGCCGCTCGGCACTCGTCTCATCACCTGCTGTCCCTCCTGCTTCCCCTGAAAGGACAGACTTCCTGTCCTCACACCAGCTTCCTTCTCCCTTCCAGAGACTGTGAGCCAGAAGCTGCAGTGAGAGGGAGGGCAGCTGGGTCGGGCCTGCATCCCCCAGACGACAGGGGTGTTGGGGTTGTGGGAGGGCCTCAGGCGGCCTCGGGCATCGACTGATTTAGCCAAGCACTCTTTCCATGTCGGCATGGATGCTCAGCCAGCACCCAGCCATCCCCACCCTGGCTCTCCCACACCTTCTCCATCTCCCTGCCTTGCTTCCTTGCCTGGAGCACTGAGCCCGTGAGTCTCCTCCTTCAGTTTCAAGCCATCCACAATCCTCGGCTTCCCACCCAACTCTCCGGGGGTCCTCGAGCCGGCATGAAGTGCCACCTGCATACCTCTCACCATGAGTTCCCCAAAACTGCTGGGCACAGTCTCCCCAGAGGGGCCCTGGGCCCGGACTGCCCCATACACAGCTCCCCAGCCCGGCCTGTTCCTGCAGCACCCTTCCCACAGCAGCAGCAACACACAGAGCTCCTGGCGTCTGTGCTGTGCACCGGGCCCTGTTCTAGGCTCTCGAGACTGAGGAATGAGCAGGGAGAGGTCTCTCTCCCTTCTGGACCTTACCTATGAGTGAGGCTGGAACATTTTTATACCTGCTTTACAGATGAGGAAAGTGAAAGAGATAGGGAAATGGCCCTAAGGCCCCAGAAAGAGTCAGTGGAGAAGCTGGGGTTCACTGGCCGAGAGGTCATGTGTCCATAAGGTCACACATCTGGAATTGGCAGGGGGGTGGAGGGGCTTAGAGTACCCACCACCGGCCCCACCTTCCTCGAGAGCTGGGGTCCTGGATGAGTGTCCCTGCAGACCTCCCCTGGCCCAAAGCGCCGAACGGGTGTGAGCCGAGCGGCCCAGTCCCCAGACTGCCCGACCCGGGGCAGACAGGTAGTCCCGACCAGGCCCAGGCTCCCCCTTCCTTCCGGCAGGTAGGAGGGGCTTCTGGGCCCCCCATCTTGCAGGTGTCAAGCCCAGCTCAGCCACGTGCCAGGTGGGAGACCTCGGCCGCCTCATGTGGAACGGGGTCATCGTAGCTCCCGCCTGCTGAGGTGGCTCAGAGCTTTGAAACTGTTCATACAGAAGGGCGCAGGCGGGGGCGTGGCCGACAGGAGGCCGCCCCGACTCGGCTGCTCTCGCGTCAGCCCTGTGGCTGTCCGCTGGCTCGGCTGCTGGCCTGGGCCTAGACTGCGGAACTGCACCGGCTTGGGTTCACAGCCGGCTCAGGCTCCCCTCGGCGCTCTGCGGGGGGCGGCGGGGTGGTGGGGTGTGGGGTGGGGGTGGGCAGTCTTCCCTCACCTGCACGAGGGTCATGGTGGTGCTGTGTCCCATGAGGGCGTCAGGAGGCCAGAGAGCTCCTCCCGCCGCTCTGGAAGCCTGGGGCTGTGTGAGGAGGGGAGGCCACGAGGGGAGGCCACGGGCTGGCCCACCTGCTCGCGGGGCCTGACCGCCCCCTGCCGAGGCTCAGCTGCGTCGGCCCCGCCCCCTGGGCTGCTGGCCGCCTCCGCCTCCGCCTCCGGAGGCGCCGCTCTCTGCCTGCTGCGGAGGGGAGGCTGCATGTCGGGAAGGGGCTCTGGCCGCCTGCTGTCGCCCACAGTGGGCTGCGTGCTGGCCCCAGGGACCCTCTCCCCTAGCCTGTAGCCTGGGCCAGTCCTCCTGCCCAGATGGCAGAGGAGAGGCTCAGGGTGCCGTCTTTGTCTCCCCCCGCCCCCCAGAGCTGCCGTCCCCCTACGTCCTGCAGGAAGTGCAGGTCGGCATCATAAACAGTGCCATCTGTAACTACCTCTACACGCAGCCCGTTTTCCGCTATGACATCTGGGGAGACATGATCTGTGCCGGCACTATCCAAGGTGGCAAGGACGCCTGCTTTGTGAGTGTCCCTTCGCAGCCCGACCAGGGGCGTCCGGGGCCTGGCAGGCCACCGCCCCAGCCCCAGGCTTGAGAGCCACCTGAAGCCCTGTACCTCATCTGGTTCTTGTGTCCCCCTCAGAGGGTAGAGACCATGGCCCCACTTTGCAGATACAGAAACTGAGGCTTGTTCACTTCCGGGGTGGGGCATGGGGTTTGCACCCAGTCTGCCCAGCTCCACAGCCCCTCCTTCCGTCCCCGCCTCCCCACTGGCCCCCCGCCCCCCCCCCAACGCCTGGCTCTCCCACGCTGCTCCCCAGGGTGACTCAGGCGGACCCTTGGCCTGCGAAAAGAAAGGGCTATGGATTCAGGTTGGAATTGTGAGCTGGGGGTCGGGCTGCGGGAGGCCCAACCGGCCTGGAGTCTACACCAACGTCAGTAGGCACTTCAAATGGATGCAGAAGCTGTTGGCTGGCAGCGGTGTTCCCAGGCCAGCCCCGCCCCTGCAGCTGCTGCTCCTGGCTCTGCTCATGCTGGCCTCCCCCCTGCAGGTGGCCTGAGCACACCTGAGCACACCAGAGCGCCTGGGAGTTGGGGCCCTCTGCTATGCCAGGCCCCATCCCCCACTGTCCCTCTGCTAATAAACACGTTTGCATGATGGAGTCTATGCCTTGCAGAGCCCTCTGTGGCCCGGGGGGCTCCCCGGACACTGTCCCAGTCACCCCAGCAGCACGCCCCACTCCTGAATCTCGCTGCAGGTGTCTGCACTCTTTGGGTTTGGGAGGCAAATCATAGGACCCCTCTGGTTAGATCAGTCAAAAAGGTAATTACTGGGAGGACATTAGTAGCCCTTGGGGAGACGAAGGGGGTTGCTGGGAGGAAACGTCCTGAACCCCCCGGTGCTCAGGCCCCCCACCACACACGACAGACACTCCTGGTCTGACCTCTTTCCCTGAGGCTGACCTGGGACCAGGACTGGAGTGCAGGAAGCTGATTTGGGAGATAATCCCAGGAAGCCCCAGTGGGGAGGGTCCCGCTGTGGACAACTGAGGCACAGTCCCCCTGGGGCCTGTGAGAAATCACGGCGGCACGTCTCGGTGTCGGCAAAGCCAACGTCCCTGCTCACCTATGATCCTGGGAGACGGGAAGGGGGTTCGCTTCCCCAAATGGGGAGTGGTCGAACGCCACAAACAAGACCAAAGTCCTCCCCACTGGGCAGGAGGCCCCCAGCCCGCTCCCTGTCTCACCAGCTCCCTCAGAGGCGGCTACTGTGTCATGTGCAGGCCCCGGTTTCTGTTTCCTTCCTGCCCTCCCCCTGCAGCGGGAGGAGCTCCCCTCCACAAGCAGCAGGGCCTGTGGCTTCCCTGGGCTCCTGGCCGGCGGGGCACCCCACCCCTGCAGGGACCCTGCCACCTCCTGTCGCCCCTCACCCCTCTCGAGACTCCCCACCGTGCTGTTACATGGCACCTGTGTGACGGGCTCTGACCTGACTTGGGGTCCTTGCAGGTACCCTTCCTTTGGTCTAGAATGTTCCCCCTTTCCCTGGTTGAGCCCTGTTGTTCTCCAGGCCTCAGCCAAAACCTTGTTCCTTCCACTCTATCATCCTGCTCATCACAGTCCTTACAGTCCTTCCTGCCAGCTCTCCATTTGTCACTAAGTGGCCTTGACCATACCTTCCCACGTGGGCGGTCCCGGAGCCCGCGTGGCCCAGCCATGACCATGCAACCCTATGCCCTTCACGGTGGAGATGCCCCACCACCCCACCCGCAATCAGTGATGGGCTCCGGGAGGTCTAGCCACAGCCCCCTGCCACCCCTTTATGTGGCTCAGGCCACACTGGATGTTTCCGGGCCCAGGGTGGAAGGGAGCTCCAGGGGACCGTCGACACTGCACCCCGGGGGTCATCGTGGGGCAGCGTTGGGTCCCTGGTTTACTCACCCCGTAGTGTCCCCTGCCTTTGCTCTCCTGAGATAGGCCGGAGATGGTGAGAGGTCTCAGCCATCCTGGGAAGGGAATCAGCAGCTTCAGGTGGGCAACATCACTCCACGCACCCGTTCCTACCCCCTGCGGCATTCCCGTTCCCAGCTGTCTTCCAGGGAAGACACGACCCTGCCGCAGAGAGAGGCCTTGTGCGCCTGGGCATGCGTGGTCCAGCAACCTCCAAGCTGATGTTGGGACCCTGTCACTGACCAGTGGGCCTGACGCGGTGGCCATTGGAATTGCTTGTCCCCCCACAGGTGGTTCGGCATGCCACTCCGCTGTGGACACCTCAAGTCACTCTGACTGCTGGGGAGGACATGCGTAGTGGGGACATGGGAGTCCTGCCTGGTGAAGAAGTTGGAGGCTAGGTGAGGGGGATCGCCCAGACCATAAGTGACCACTGTCCTATCGTGTGCTTTACCACCAGCCAGTGTCAACTGAGAGGGGGCCTTCCCTTGTGGTCAGTTCATGGAGACAATTAAACCTGCAACTTTCACCTTTAAGGACATTTTCAGCTTGGAGTCAAAGTTTTTTTCTTGTATCGTTTTATTCTTTTCGCTTTCTTTTCTTTTTCTTCTTTCTGTAGGCTCCACGACCAGTGTGGAGTCCAGTGTGGGGCTTGAACTCACAACTCTGAGATCAGGAGTCAGACGCTTAACTGGTTGCCTGAGTCCCCCAGGAGCCCCTGGAGTCCAGACTTTCTGAACATAGTTTTCATGGAGCAGGTGTTAGCTTACGACACTCATTAGGATTTTTCACTCCTATTATGGGTGATACCACCAACATATTTTTTCTTTTCCTTTTTCTTATTCTCTAAAAAGTTGTAGAAGCCAGAGCAGATATTTTAGGTAGCCACTAAGATTTACTACTTCCCTTATGCAAACAAGAATAATTACAGAGTTGGGCTGCCTGGGTGGCTCAGTGGGTTAAGCCTCTGCTTTGACTCAGGTCATGATCTCAGGGTCCTGGGATCGAGCCCCGCATCAGGCTCTCTGCTCAGCGGGGAGTCTACTTCCCCCTCTGTCTCCCCCTGCCTCTCTGCCTACTTGTTCTCTCTCTCTCTAATAAATAAATAAAATTAAAAAAGAATAACTATGGAGAAATGGAAGTATTTTGGATGGGTTCTATGCATAACCACAGTCCAGAGCTTCGTGCATTTCATAGCATGTGGAGAGTCGGGTGCAACTAGGGACACACCGGAGTGTCCACACTTGTCACCCCTGGGTGATAGCCGTCTAGGCGCTTACCGTCCTTTTAAGCCTTTTCCAGATTTCCTTCGCTACCCCTTTCCTATCGTGTTGTAATCAGAAAACAAAGCCAGTAAGTGCATTTAAAGACCAAACAAGAATCCAGTTGGTTGGTGTGTGGACAGGTGACATTTTCTCAGGCTTATGGAGGAGGGTCTGCTGATGCATTTTCAAGCCACCTGCCTGCCACTTCCAAGGACAAACACCAGGACCGCCGCTATCAGCAACAATAGAATAGCTACCAAGATTCTGGAACAAGAGCGAGAAGCTGGTGCTACAGGGTCTTCAGAGATTGGAGACAAAGTTACGTGGGTTTTGAATTCTAGATCCGCTAACAACCAGTCAAGGGGGAGGGCAACGTGATGTCATTCTCAGGCGGGACGGCTGATGAAGGGGACCTCCCGCCTGCCCTTCCCCAGGGAGGCCCCTGCGGCAGGGAACAGAACGGAGCCCAAGGATGTCAACGTCCTAATCTCCGGAGACTGAGTGTGTCACTCTAGGTGGCAAAAGACACTCTGCAGACATGGCTGAGCCAGCGGTGTGACATGGGGAGATTGTCTTGGATTGCCCCGGTGGGACCGGTGTCATCACTGGGGGCCTGAAACCTGAAATTCCTGGGAGGAATCGGAAGAAGCAGTTCCTAGAAGTGGCGCCCGAGGACGAGGCCGGATGAGGCAGCGGACGCAAGAAAGAATAAATAAGAGATGCCAAAACGGCAGAAATACGGTGTTGATGTCCCATTTCTACTGGAAAGAAGAGGGGGGAAAAGGCAGTCAGGGGCATTAGGGGTGAGGGCAGCAAACCCAAGAGCCAAAATTAGCCAGCATTCCCCAAACTGACCTGATCATGAAACCCTCGTCTTGGGGGGAATTTCACAAGAGACCTGTAAGACGCTGCCCCCCGTCTCCAGGGCCAAGCTGGGTCCTGGCAGTCCCCTGGGTCCCTCCCTCTCCTAGGAGCCCCTGATCGGATACCCTCCATCTCCTGGGGTGGATTTTCCTTCCGTAAACTCTCGGGGCTTCCAGCACCTGTCTCTGCCATGTGCGCCCTCTGACACAAGGGGGCACTGCTGAGCTGGAGCTGCACAGGGGCTCTTCTAGAAGGCAGGCCAGGGCTCTGGGGCTTGGTCCCCCGCGGCCTGTTTGCTAAATAAGCAGGTAGCTGAACATGCAGGTGACTTGGGGGCCTGAAGCAATGTTTCTGTCCCCATACTTATTTGTATGGGATGAGGACCCCGCCCCCGCCCCATGCGTCCCCATTGCCATTAGCCCCGTTCTGTGTCTGCGGGATCCCTTCCCTCCACCCTCAGGAGGTGTCTCCCTTCCAGAGTCCGAGGCCAGGTACAGAGCCAGGCACCCACGGAGCAGGCTGCGCTCCTTCACATGTGAGA